TGTAAGATTGCTGCACTCTCCTGGACAACTAAATAACATGATTTTTTTTAAAGCCACTAGATATCACACATACAATCAGACATCATTTCTATTTATTTATTGATTTTGTGGGTGTAGATTGGTATAGTAAGTGTCATCAAGTGCAATGCCATTTTAATGAATGGAACATTGTTTTGTTTTTTTCTAACTATAGCTGCTGTTACTATTGATACTGAGACAAGTAGCATTTATCTTGGTTATCAAAAAATATACCATTCATCATTAGCTAAATCCAGTTTGTATTTACCTCAAGTTGATGTGGTTCCTCACGCTTTCTTAATGACCTATAACATCGCGCCCTAATTACCACTGTCCCTGCAATAATATTTGAGACTGAAGTGTCCAAATACACACATACAAACATGGTTAAAACTCAGTTTATTTATTACACCACTTTGAAATTCATCCATAAAACCAACAAAAGGTAAATCATCTATCGTAAATAATACATACCTTGGTAATCAAAAATAAATTGCTCAAAAAAGAATTTGTAACCTTTGTCCAATTTTGATCGTTTTACATCTCCCTGAAAAATGTCAACAAAACGGACAACATCGGATATATGTACTTTTGGTAAGTACGTGAATGACTGAGAAAAAACACGCTGTTCACAGTCCATTTTGTGAAGAATGTCCAAGAATGAATGGGGATCGTAGAGGGCGGCGGCGCGACCGGAAGAATTGTTACCCTACTTCCGGTTGCGGTCGCCATTTTGTGAAATAGGCCTATTGTTGGTGATTTTAATATACATGTAGATAATAAAAGGCGCATTGGGATTGACATTTAAAGACATTCTGAACTCTATTGGAGTTAGACAACATGTTTCAGGACCCACTCATTGTCGTAATCATACTTTAGATCTAATATTGTCACACATGGAATCAATGTTGATGCCATTGAAATTCTGCAGCAGAGCGATGACATCTCAGATCATTATCTAGTCTCATGTATACTCTATTTAGCTAAGGTTGCTAAGCCGACTCTGTGTTACAAATATGGTAGAACTATTAATTCGAACACTAAAGATTGCTTTATTAATAATCTTCCTAATCAGTTTCATTTCCTCAGCATTTCAGATTAGAAGAACTCGATGTTTCAACAAAAACTATTGACTCTCTCTTTTCCAGCACTTTAGACACAGTTGCTCCTTTGTGCATAGTCCAAATTTCAATCTTAACCATTCTATTTAATCAGAAACGATCTTAAAACAGTGCTTTAAGTGTAAAATACCGAACTTGTCCTTTAAGAGAGCAGCCAGAAAAAATGGCGCGCAACTGGAAAAAGACAAAACTAGAGGTTTTTCGCATTTTGTGGAGAGAAAGCACAATTGCGTACAGAAAGGAATTAAAGCTTTTTTATTTGAAACAGTGGCTAAATTAACGAGAAATAAAGCTTCAACCCCAGACATTTCCAAACAGCACAGCTGTAATGACTTTATGAACTTCTTTACTAACAATATTGATAATATTAGAGAGAGTATTATAACTATAGTCTACTACAGTATTGCATCATCAGGCAGTGCATTGTAATCTCCCTGAGGAAAAAATCAATTCATTCATTGCTATAAGAGAGGAAGAATTTTCTAAACTCATTTAAATCATCTAACCGGTGTGATTAGAACTTGTCAGTGCATCATGTGATCAACTGCTAAATTCAAATTTGCTTTCGCGCATCAGCACTGTCATACATCACAACTATTCAGTGTTTTCAACCACATAATGTTTATTTTAGGTTTCAGACATATAAATTCACATAAGTACTAAAAAAACAATAGATTTAGAGTTTGTAAAATACACACTGATGTCTATGGAAGCGGCAATAATAATCCTTTCCATGTATAATTAGACACGTTTTATTCATATCAGACATACAAGTAAGTAACTTTAAAGTTTACTCTATTCTTCTCCCAGTTCACCGGCCACTTACTTTCATGTATTTCGGGAGAAGTGGATGAATTGACGTGTTGTAAATCCAACAGATCCGATTCTCTGAACTGTGGCAACAAAACATCGGAATATCAGATATTTCATGCTACAGCTAACAAATTTGTGAATATTTTGAATAAAAAAGGATAAATGACATAAAAGCAGATCATCATTCATTCAGTGCTGTTGTGGCTGCAGTGTATCACGTGACAAGTGACATGTTCTAAATAGCGGTCGCCTTGAAAAACTCTCGCTGAGGTGGTCAGTCAGAATATTTTAAAGTCCCAATGAATTCAAAATTGACAATGCTTACTTTGTTTGCCTAAATTGATCGTTTTGTGGTGAACAATTCATCCATACAAGTCAATCCACACACAAAAAAATGTTTGGCTTCGTAATCTTGTCGGGATAATTCTGGTTCACGTGGCTACGGCGAAGTGATAAAATTCTGTATTATAAATTTTAAGGCCAGACAAGCTGGAAAATAACTTTATTTTAGAGCTGCCATAAAGCCAAAATAATCTGTTACTTCAACTTCCTATTATCACTGTAAAGCCGCTTTGGAACCATCTACATTGTTAAAAGTGCTATATAAATGAAGATGACTTGAATTGACAAGTTCAGCATGGTGTACCACAAGGCTCAGTACTAGGACCGTTGCTGTTCACACTGTACATGCTACCCTTGGGAGATATCATTAGGAAGCATGACATTAGTTTTCACTGTTATGTCGATGATACTCCGCTCTATATTTCTTCATGCCCTGACGAAACTTACCAATTAAAAAAATTAACGGAATCCATAGCTGATATAAAAAATTGGATGACAAGTAATTTTCTACTACTTAATAGGCTTGCTACGGTAGTCAGTGTTACCGGTGTGACCGGTGTTCAGGCGCAACACCGGTTTCATCACTTGTCCACCGCGACACCGAAAATAAATAAATATATATATAATATATTTATATATTTAACGCAATTACGCAGTATCCGTTTTTTTCTGTCACCCGTTGACTACCGTTGTATTATCACGCTCTTATTAATGTGAATGATAAAGTCTCTTTAGTCTTGTTGCGCATAATGCGCAACAAGACTAAAGAGACCGCGCTGTCTTGCCTACACACACGCGCGTGCGCGTGCCCGACCCACAGAAAAGACGCGCGTCAGTATCGAGTTCTCTCTCGGGCTTGAACAAACCATAACACACACAAATTATGCCAAAATGTCAGTTTTGTCGAGTGTCCTCATAAGAGCAGTCTTAAATGATTTAAATAAAGTCTTAAATTAACGTAGAGATTTGTGAGAAAATGGGACGCGTGTCGATGGCGTCTCTGTCAGCAGCTGGTCTTAAAGGGATACTCCACCATTTTTTCATATTAAACTATGTTATTCTCTTATCTAAGACGAGTTGATACATACCTCTCTCGTCTCAGTGCGTGCACTGAATCGCTCTGTCGGGCGGAGAACTTTGAGAGCAGTTAGCTTAGCCCCATTCATTGCATATGGGCCAAACAGAGATGAAGTTAGAAGCGACCAAACACATCCACGTTTTCTCTATTTAAATATAGTTACACGAGTAGTTACACGACCAAGTATGGTGACACTAAATAAAATGTGGCGCTTTTTATAAGCGGGTAAAATGGATAACTATAATGTATGGCGGAATAGCACTTATTGGGAGCACTTCGACTCGGCGCTGTAATATCTTCACTCGTGAAAAGTCCTCTCCCCCTCTCCCTCTCCCTCCGTCAACTCTGCACAAAAAACTACTACTGCAGGCGTGCAGGTCACGTTGGTTCTATTGACGGAAATGACAGGGAGAGGGAGAGGGAGAGGGGGGAGAGGACTTTTTACGAGTGAAGATATTACAGCGCCGAGTCGAAGTGCTCCCAATAAGTGCTATTCCGCCATACATTATAGTTATCCATTTTACCCGCTTATAAAAAGCGCCACATTTTATTTAGTGTCACCATACTTGGTTGTGTAACTACTTGTGTAACTATATTTAAATAGAGAAAACGTGGATGTGTTTGGTCGCTTCTAACTTCATCTCTGTTTGACCCATATGCAATGAATGGGGCTAAGCTAACTGCTCTCAAAGTTCTCCGCCCGACAGAGCGATTCAGCGCACGCACTGAGACGAGAGAGGTATGTATCAACTCGTCTTAGATAAGAGAATAACATAGTTTAATATGAAAAAAACGGTGGAGTATCCCTTTAAATTGACATTAAAGTTAATCAAAGAACAAAGGTAAGAGAGTAAATGACTCACTCAGACCCGGAGCTAGGAGGATTATTACACCGGCAGCCTAATAATCATGAATGCACACTGCTATCTTTAACACATCTCCGGTGAACGGCTTCTTCACGCAAAAGAAAAACTCTTCATGAAGCGCAGTGAAATTCAGCGACCTATGGCGTTTCCTGATGGATCGAGGTTGTTCGTTAACTTAATTTTATATGTGCAACTCACGTAGCCATATGACACTGACAACGTGCTGACAGACAGGACCGAGCAGGTAATATTTAATATGAAACAAAGTCTCAACTTTCAAATTTGGTCAGTCAAAGAAAATTAAACAATAGGCCTACCGTTTTGTGGCTCTAATGTGTCGTGAGAGATTGCCTCAGTTAAAGACAAGTTCAAATCCACCGACGCTAATGTATATAAGTGAAAGTGAAGTGCACACTGCTGCACCAGCTTTTTATAAGCGATGTAAAAAAAATTTGTTTCGTTTTCAAATGAGCGGCAATTCAGCGCACAATAACAAAACAGTGTTGCTCCGCACGACCACCATTATGCATGCATGCCCGTGCAAACGCGCGCATTTTACATGTGCCTTTAAATGAGCGATTTAAAAGCCCCCGCCGGTGATACCGGTATTACACGTGTTGTAACACGTCGATTAACCGGTGTGTAAAAATCCTCACCGTCACATCCCTACTACTTAATTCTGAAAAAACAGAGATTCTAATTATTGGACCAAAAACCTCCGCACGTACTTGTCACAGTCTCCGTCTGCACCAGTCTGTCTTGGGGCCTTTCTCAATCTGTGTTCTTGTCTGTACTTGTGTCCTTGTGTTCTTGTGAAACGTCATCTTTCGTGGCCCAAGTACTGTCCCAATACACAAGTTTGCATTTTGACAAGAACGGTTAAAAATCCCGGAAGTGTTCTTGACACGCCCATTTTACCGAGGATGCATCGGTTGGTAACTTGTGTGAACTTGACGGCAGAAATATCCCAGCATTCATTTCGGCATACGAGGAAGGAGAGGCAAGTCAATACAGTAAGTCGTTTTTCTACAATTTCGTACGCTATTTCATCACTTAATTCACTTCTGAGAACATTTGATGCGAGAAATCAACTGTGTAGATTTCAAATATTGGCATTTTTACGAAAATTTATGGCGAATCGAAAATGTGCTCAAACGTTTTCGGAAGTGGAATCTCCATAAAGCGCGAGCCAACCGGCCAGTCTTCTCACAGACTCGTTTTATCCCACAGTCAAGAGACAATTGAAGCGGAGCAATAATGGCAGAAGAAAGCCAGACCCACATCTGTAAGACAGTTTTACTTTTCGTACCGCTGTTATTATGTAATTGCATTCTGAATAATGTGATAATAATTGAAACCAAGGGACATCTGAGGAAACCGCAGCATTAATTACATGGCGAGCGGCCAACGAGGCTCTATTCACTGGTCGGAGGAATTCCTCCAAAAATGGATGGGAGTGAGTAACGTTATGCATAATCTGTATTTTGTTGTACTACAGACTGTTATATAAAAAGGTTTGTACGCTAAGGGTAGTTGGTCGATTGGTGTGTTTGGTTGTGTCTGCCAGCCAGTCAGAAGAGTTTTATGCATCAAAATGAAAGAAAACAAATACATACTATAAAACTAAGAAATCAAAATACTAGTGACAAGCAAAATAAATAGTAAGTTACATGTGACATTTATGATTTGGTTATGATATGAATGCAGAAAGTTATTTGGAGGCAGTATTGCACTTAAGTGTATGATAGTACATGCATGCAGGGAGTAGAGGAGTGACAATAATAATTATTGTTAGTAGTAATATTAGTAATTGTGTTTAAGTTGTCCTCTTCTTTTTGCTTTTTTCAGAGTATTTGTGAAGCAGTCTGACCTGGCTATCACAGCCAAACAAGCTATGAAGAAATGGAACAACCTTAAGGAAAAATACAAGGTAACCTACCATTTAATGTAGTGGGACTTACCAAGTTTTTTAGATTTACCAAGTTAATATGCAATTATTTTTTACAAGTGGAGTACAAGTATTATAGGGCAAGGATATACGTTATCAAACACTTTTAAGAAATTGTAAACTAAACAACATATCCCAACTTTCTTTTTTTTCTGTGTGGAAAATTTATAATAATATTGATATATGTATATATATATATATATATATATATATACATAGAAGTTAAAATACTGATGCCAAACATAATATACTTATATATGTATATATATATATATATACACTCACCGGCCACTTTATTAGGTACCCCATGCTAGTAACGGGTTGGACCCCCTTTTGCCTTCAGAACTGCCTCAATTCTTCGTGGCATAGATTCAACAAGGTGCTGGAAGCATTCCTCAGGGAGTTTGGTCCATATTGACATGATGGCATCACACAGTTGCCGCAGATTTGTCGGCTGCACATCCATGATGCGAATCTCCCGTTCCACCACATCCCAAAGATGCTCTATTGGGTTGAGATCTGGTGACTGTGGAGGCCATTTTAGTACAGTGAACTCATTGTCATGTTCAAGAAACCAATTTGAAATGATTAGAGCTTTGTGACATGGTGGAAGTAGCCATCAGAGGATGGGTACATGGTGGCCATAAAGGGATGGACATGGTCAGAAACAATGCTCAGGTAGGCCGTGGCATTTAAACGATGCCCAATTGGCACTAAGGGGCCTAAAGTGTGCCAGGAAAACATCCCCCACACCATTACACCACCACCACCAGCCTGCACAGTGGTAACAAGGCATGATGGTTTCCATGTTCTCATTCTGTTTACGCCAAATTCTGACTCTAACATCTGAATGTCTCAACAGAAATCGAGACTCATCAGACCAGGCAACATTTTTCCAGTCTTCAACTGTTCAATTTTGGTGAGCTCTTGCAAATTGTAGCCTCTTTTTCCTATTTGTAGTGGAGATGAGTGGTACCCGGTGGAGTCTTCTGCTGTTGTAGCCCATTCGCCTCAAGGTTGTGCGTGTTGTGGCTTCACAAATGCTTTGCTGCATACCTCGGTTGTAACGAGTGGTTATTTCAGTCACTGTTGCCCTTCTATCAGCTCGAACCAGTCTGGCTATTCTCCTCTGACCTCTGGCATCAACAAGGCATTTCCGCCCACAGAACTGCCGCTCACTGGATGTTTTTTCTTTTTCGGACCATTCTCTGTAAACCCTAGAGATGGTTGTGCGTGAAAATCCCAGTAGATTAGCAGTTTCTGAAATACTCAGACCAGCCCTTCTGGCACCAACAATCATGCCACGTTCAAAGTCACTCAAATCACCTTTCTTCCCCATACTGATGCTCGGTTTGAACTGCAGGAGATTGTCTTGACCATGTCTACATGCCTAAATGCACTGAGTTGCCGCCATGTGATTGGCTGCTTAGAAATTAAGTGTTAACGAGCAGTTGGACAGGTGTACCTAATAAAGTGGCCGGTGAGTGTATATATATATATAAAAGTATATTATGTTTGGCATCAGTATTTTAACTTCTATCATTATTGCAAGATATCTTAAAATAACTATTAACTTAAAATATCTTGACATGAAGGGAATATATACAGGATAGCATTGCAGCAAACATTTGTGAATCCATTCATCTGTGGAAACTTTTTGGGACTACAAATATGTTCAATAACAGTTTTCACCATTATACATGATTTTTTAGGAACTTAGGGATCCTCCAACAGGGAAAGGGGTGGAGGCAGGTGGGGTGACTGCTGCTACCTGGCAGTGGTACAGTCAGATGGATGCTGCACTCCAGGGGCAGCACTCAATAAGTCCGCCCCTGGTAGTGTCAGCAAATCTGACTGCCACTACAGGTGGCGTTGTCACCTCTCCGTCCTCTGCCCCTCCCAAAGAACGGGCCAATCCGCCACCAAGGAAGAGGGCCAGGGTCAGTGAGGCACTCCTGGATTTCATGAAGGAGCAGGCAGAGAGGGAAGAGGAGAGAGAGCAGGAGGCAGTGGCGAGGGAAGAGGCGAGGGAAAGAGCAGCCTCTGACAGGGCAGATAGATACTTAACTCTCTTTGAGAGACTTGTAAATAAATTGTAAATAGCCTGTATTATTTGTACTGTTCTTGATTTACGATTGTTGTATTGCAACAATTGTAACGCTCAATCTACTACTTCTATAAATATTTTTGAAATTGCAGGAAAGACATATTTTGACTTAAGGTGATAAAGCAAGTCTTACAACGGCAGTCATAATCATGCCTTCTTTTTGATATTATTTGTAGACAGCCATCAAATTTGGCATGTTTCTTTTCAACTAAAATAGGTAATAGGTCTTTTTTCCTGTTGTCATTGCCATTCTGCTAGGTGTGCTTAAAAAAACAGTCAATGACCACATACACAGTATTTTTTAATTATTCATCAACTAAACAATTTTACAGTCTAACTAATATAATGATACAAATAAATATATTCATATTTTCAAGGTAACATTTTCATTTACATTTCATTTTCATTTATTCACTATTTATTTGACAGGGACAGTGCACACTTAAAATAATTGCAACTGAGTTAGCTAGCAGCTTATTTGCATCTATTGTCCCTGGGCATTCACTCAGGTTTATCCCCTCAGTCGTAATCATGCTCCCTCAGACATGCAGGCAGCTCTCCAGGGGCAGACACCTGTGCAGCAAGTCTGGCACGGAGAGTATTTCCTGAGAGCTCCCTATCCTCATCATCAGGAACGTTCCCCTGATCTTCATCCTCATCGTGAAGTTTCTCCTCCTCCTCCAGGATATCATCTGTCGAGAGACAGAGGTTGTGTAGGATGCAGCATGCTGCAATAACTTTAGGGGCAAATAGAGGCCGAATCTCCAAAGCCCTCAGGAAGATGGCTCGCCAGCGGGTTTTTAGCATTCCAAAGGTACGCTCAATGATGTTCCTGGCCTTAGCATGGTGCTTGTTGAAGCGTGCTTCAACTTGGCCTGATGATTAAAATACAGGTAATGTAAAAATATATGTAGTGTTTCAAATGCAAAGTAACAAATCCAATAAAAATTGTCTCTGTGTATTCTTACCCGCTACAGGCTGGCGGTATGGCGTCATGAGGGTGAGAGGATGCTGCAGACATGGGTACCCCCCGTCTCCAAGAAGAAAGAAGCCAGCTGGTGGATATAGGGACTCCTTGTACATTGGAGATCTCCGGAGGACAAGGGCATCATGGACTGATCCGGTGTTGCCAATGTAAATATCCAGAAATTTCCCTTTGCTATCACACACACCCTGGAGAACCACAGAAGGGAAGAGCTTGCGATTGAAGTAACACTTCTTTTGTGGTTCAGCAGGTGGAAGTACTCTGACGTGGCACCCATCTATTGCTCCAGCCGCACAGCGGAATGCCTCATGGCCAGCCAAGCGAGCAAAGCCTGCCCCGACCTCTTCCATCTCTTCTGGCTTGGGGAAATGAATCACCTTGTGAACAATGGCCATCATGTCATCCACTATACTGTGGACTATTCTGCCAACTGTGGCTCTCGGTATGGCGAAGATGTCTGCTGTCACTCGGTATGAGGTGCCACATGCAAGCCAGTAGAGACAGACAGCCACCTCGATTTCGTGGCTCCATCCATGTGGCTTTTGCCGAGGCAACATCTGGACCAGCAGGTTGATGGTTTCTCTGGAGAGCCTAAAGGCTGGTTTTAGGTCAGCTTCAGAGAAAAAGGATGTGAGGATTGGCACATAGTTATTTATTTGTACATACCTCTGAGAAGGCATTTGATCCTGTGTTTAAAAAAGAAAAACACACACATATATATTACTTATCATCGATTAACATTCTAAAATTATTTTTTTATTATTATAATTTTGGTAAAGCAAGGAAAGGCCAACACAATGGAAAGTAAAATGGTAAGTTCCATTCCTTCTAGTCTGGTTCTATGTATTTCTTAAAATTATGTAGGCTATAGATGTTCTAATAAACTTTACTTGATTTATTGTACAATGCTTTCCTGAGTTGTTTTATCTGAAAATGTGAGTGTGAACCTTTTTTGATACAGGTCTAAGGTAGTGCAGAGCGTACTGTAATTTAAGCTACTCAAACAAGCTATTGCTATTCCATTTACCTAATCCCAATTTATTGGATAAGGAAACTATAAACTAGTAATTTTTCCTATTCATCCAGGGTTCTCCCCTAGGATTTTGTGAGGAGGTGATGGTACTGGGGGGCACAATCAAAATGATCAAATGTAGTTTGACTGATGTAATCAATTGTAATACTGAGTGATAAAAATTTGCTTTATATTAAATAGGGGTACAGTATCCTTGTTGAGAACCTGGTTTTATACCTTAACATTTGGTATAATGTTTGCCACTATTATTTAAGTTAAGTGCTGATTTAAGTCAACTTTATAAGATAATGTACGTACATAATCAGAGACAAGCGCTAAAATAGCATATTGCCGTTCCATCTTCCTCCTCCTCCTCATCCTAGTTCTCCTCATTTGTATACGCCTTCTCAGCTCAGCAGCTTCCTTTTCTGCTTCTTGGTAAAGTATACCCATGGTGACTGCTAACATTACCCGGTCCATCTTTGAACTAACAGTTATTTAACCTTAATTATTTGATCTTCTCCAAACAATAGACTACCTTAACGACAACCAATAGCTTGCCCTTTACCGGCGTTTTTTTCCCGCCTTTGGCTAGTGATGTACACAAACAAACAACAGAAGCAGAATGAAAGTAGACAGGCGTTGCTTTATTGTTATGAATATAACTTACATTACATTGTAGTGTACAGTTGTAGATTAATCCATTGAGCCGAGGGTATTGGGCGATAAAGCCTGGCTGTTATCGTCAATAATTCTCGTCATGTTTGGGTACTGCAGACGGCGTCTGTGCGGGGGAATTATTGCGCAATACCAGCAAGAACACATCGTCTCAAACTGTCAGCAGCGTTATGTGTGCTCGTCACCTTGTGAGTTCATTCTTCCAAGAACAACTAGCAAGAGCGTTCTCCCCAAGAACACAAGTCCGTTCTTTGCATTCTTGGTTTTGAGAAACACCCTTGGTCTGCACTACACTACCCAGAATCCTCCTTGTCTCCACACCTGAATTCACTCCCTCAATCATCCACCTGTTCATCGTCTTTATCATCTGTGTCACCTGTCCTCACCTCGTTAGTGGTCGTTTGTATCTGTATTTAGTTCTCTCTGTTCAGTCTGTCTTGGTCGGTTCTTGAAAATGTTTTGGTGTTGTTGTGAGTGTTCCTGCCTGCACCTGTTTATTGTTTTATTATAAGTAAATCGCTGGAATTGAAGCCTTTCTGACTCAGCCTCCTTCTTCACCTGCACCACACCGTGACAGAAGAACCAACCAAAAATATAGATTTGGCAGCAGTAAAGATCCTGCTACTTTCCCAAGAGGATCTTTCCCTCGAGGCCCACACAGAGAGGTATTTGGACTTGGTACCCTTTGTCCATTATGATGACACCAGCCTCTGTGTGTTCTTCCGGGCAGGTCTCAACGCCGAGATCACAGCACGCCTGCCCGGAGATGGGCCTCGGGGGAACTTCGAGGCCTATGTGAAGTGGGTATTGGCCAGCTGTAACTCTCCCTTCACCGTCGGCCCAGTAGCAGAGACGGTGAAGCCAGAGACCGTCCAGCCAGCTCTGAAGGACGCAGTACTCCTTGTGGGATCCATGGCTGTTTTGTGTGTGTGGGCAGCACACACATTCGTTACAGCCCATGAACCCAGCCCTGAGCTTCCTTCGCCGCTGGTCCCGTCCAGCCCTGAGCTTCCTTCGCCACTGGTCCCGTCCAGCAAAGAGCCCTCACCACTTGCCCAGCCAGAGACTGTTCACGTCCCGTCTGCCCAGTCTGGGTCTGCTCGCATCCCGTCTGCCCAGCCTGAGGTGGTTTACGGCACGTCTGCCCAGCCCCAGAGCCTGTCCCTCATCCAGTCACTCTCCCCAATAATTTTTTTGGGGGGGGGGGGCATAGGTCACCGCCATGGCCGCCCAGAGGGTCCTCACCGCCATGGCCGCCCGAAGGGTCCTCACCGCCATGGCCGCCCGAAGGGTCCTCACCGCCATGGCCGCCCGAAGGGTCCTCACCGCCATGGCCGCCCGAAGGGTCCTCACCACCATGGCCGCCCGAAGGGTCCTCACCACCATGGCCGCCCGAAGGGTCCTCACCACCATGGCCGCCCGAAGGGTCCTCACCACCATGGCCGTCCGAAGGGTCCTCACCACCATGGCCGGTCAAAGGGTCCTCACCACCATGGCCACCCGAAGGGTTCTCACCACCATGGCCACCCGAAGGGTCTCCACCGCCCTGGACGCCCGAGGGTCCGACAGCTCCGCCCTGGACGCCCGAGGGTTCGTCTGCTCCGCCCTGGCCACGCCCACGTCCTGCTACGCCCTGGCCACGGCCACGTTCGGCTCCGCCCTGAAGGCTTCCCGCTTTAGGGCGCCCACCCCCCCACCCCTGTTGTTCCACGGCGTGAGGTCACGCCTACCGGGAGGGGAGAGTTATGTCACAGTCTCTGTCTGCACCAGTCTGTCTTAGTCTGCACTACACTACCCCAGAATCCTCCTTGTCTCCACACCTGAATTCACTCCCTCAATCATCCACCGGTTCATCGTCTTTATCATCTGTGTCACCTGTCCTCACCTCGTTAGTGGTCGTTTGTATCTGTATTTAGTTCTCTCTGTTCAGTCTGTCTTGGTCGGTTCTTGTAAATGTTTTGGTGTTGTTGTGAGTGTTCCTGCCTGTCTTCCTGCCTGCACCTCTTTATTGTTTTATTATAAGTAAATCGTTGGAATTGAAGCCTTTCTGACTCAGCCTCCTTCTTCACCTGCACCACACCGTGACAGTACTAACCTAGAATACCAACAACACTTGATGGATGTTCTGTCAAGTCTTCAGTCCGTCTTCGTTGTCGGTTAGGAACCTGGGTGTGCTCTTTGATACCAATCTTTCATTTGAAAGCCACATTTCTAACATCTGTAAAACCGCATTCTTCCATCTTAAAAATATATCTAAATAACGACATATGCTCTCAATGACAAATGCGGAACAGTTAATTCATGCGTTCATGACATCAAGGCTAGATTATTGTAATGCTATTATGGGTGGTTGCCCTGCACGCTTAATAAACAAACTCAAGCTGGTCCAAAAAGCAGCAGCTCGGGTTCTTACCAGAACCAGGAAGTATGACCATATTATCCCGGTTCTGTCAACACTGCATTGGCTCCCTACTAAACATCATTTACATTTTAAAGGGGAAATCGGATGCCCATTTTCCACAAGTTCGTATGATTCTTTAGGGTCGTCATGTTAAGTTTGTAACATACTTTGGTTAATCCTCTATGGTTGTGTAAAACACCACCCTTTTTACCTCCTCAAAAAAGTTCTGTTCACAGTGACCCATTCCGGTGCATGTCTCTTTAACTTATTATAAGCAACTGCTCACCCCAACCCTCTCTTCCGTGGGTCAAGACACGTGAGAAGGGTCTGACTGCAGAGCCGCAAAGCTGCAGTTTTGCCCGCGCATGCGCATTTTGTCTTGAGAGTTTGAGAGAGTTTTATGTCATTGAGATGCATGTTACGGCACTGAAAGGGAATAATTTCCCTAAGTATTCAAAATGCTCTTCTTGCTGTGACCAATTTCACTGTCCGTTCTGCTTGATTCAATATAATAAACCGTCAGGAGAAAGTCACCTCAAGCGCCATCTTAAATTACATTTTAACTGGGCAGTCCAACATGAGGGTAAGCCGACGCTAATTTTAAGTTAGCCATCTTTAGAAAGCGAATGTATTCTGCGGGAAATTTAGTTATCGATAAGTAGCTGTAACAAATTAACGTAACCTATATCTAGGCTTATACTACAATTTAATATTCTTTAGTAACAAACTTTACAGTTTTTAGTTATATCAAACTGTACAGTCAGATAATTGTCATCATTATTAGGCCCTAACAGATATTATTATGAACCTCCTGTTGTGTTAATTTCATGTTAACTAGTTTTGTGTTCCTGGTCCAAAATTATTATCATTATAGCAGATTATAAATTCATAATAATACATATATTATCACCTAATTTTGTGATAGATCTTTTTATCAATGTGTGTTTTTGTTAAACTAACAGACTTTTAGTGAACTAACTACAGGGACAGTCCCCTCTGAAGCAACTTGGGGTAAGTGCCTTGCTCAGGGACAGATTGGTGACAGCCCCAGGGATTGAACTCACAAACTTACGGTGTTCCATTTGGAAGCCCAGAACCCTGACCACTAGACAACCACCTGCTGCATTCTGCACAACTTTATGTTCTCATTGTAGTCTTTTTGTATTTTGTCAGACATGGAAGGGGGTTTTGCACACTGGGCTGAGGAGGCCATGGCGGTTGGGTCCTGCCTCACTGACAGTAAGGTAAGCTTTTTTTGTCAAAGGTGTTTTTTTTTTTTTTTCTGATTTTCAGTCGACAATATCCTATACTTCGACTTTCAGGAGACACAGAGATCAGATGGGTTCTAAAAACACACACCAAGTTAGTCCCATTGCTCCAGGGTTGACCCTTGAAAGACCCTAAAAGACTGTGAACACAAAAAGGGCTACATCTGCCAAATGGTCTAGAGCTAGTCTGATCATTACAGGCATGTAATGCTTTAAATGTATGTTCTTGCTAAATGTATGGATCGGCCGGATCCAGATCTGATGAAGTCTTGAAGTGTCAACTAGTCCCTCCCCTGTGAAGGCCTCCTTCCTCCTCTGTTACCTCAACAAACTCGTCTCCATACCGGCGTGATGACTCCGACCTCCAACCAGATGGAACTGGATAAATATTGTGAATGTTCTGATCCAATCTGACCTGTAATGTTGCCTGAATCATAATCACACACTGTTTGTTCGTCGGCCAACTGGCCCCCGACTGAGCCTGTTTTCTCCTCCATTCTGTCACCTGATGGAGTTTTGGTTCCTTGCCACTGTTGCCTTGGCGTTTGGCTTGCTTAGTTGGGGACATTTAATATTCAACAATATTATTGATCTGCCTTATTTCAGGTGGACGATGACGCAATTTTCTTCTAGAAAAAAACTTGTATTATTTTCATGTTATCAGTAACTGCGTTTACATGGACCCTTATAATCGGATTGATGGCTCAATCGGACTAAAAAAGCTTAATGTAAACACCTTAATCGATCTGATTGAGCTCAATCCGAATGGAATTTCGATCGGATTGAAAGGGGGAGTTTATTCCTTTTGTAATCCGATCGAGAGAACATGTAAACACTTGATCGGATTGAAAACTGAAACTGAAAGGCTTGTGCATGTGCAATGAAGTAGGAATAGCGTGATGATGTATGGCACACAGAAATGAGTGTCCCGTTATTCTAAGATTCTCATTTCACTCTGCGTCTGTGAAGTGGAGCAGGACAACGTCCCACCTGTTGTTGTTTCAGATTCTCATCCACAGACGACTGGTTTTAGGTATTTGTACTGCGTGATAAATATAACCAGCGGCACAACGGTTCATATGCTCATCCTCTCCAAATCATGACCAGAGACGGATAAATATTAAGTCTGCTGTTTAAAACAACTAAAGAACCAATAGAGGAGAAAAGCTATGCACGAACAGCGGCATATTCGTGCAGTGTGCGCATGTCAAAAAATCTATTCCGATCTGAAGCTTGTGACATATAAACGCACACATCAACCCGATTATTTTATTTATCGTGCATGTAAACATCGTGTTCGGATTCATCAATCAGATTGATTTAATTCTGATTGAACAAAAAGGTGTCCATGTAAACGTAGCTACTGTGAAGCTGCTTTGATGCAATCTGTATTGTAAAAAGCGCTAAATAAATAAAGGTGACTTGACTTGCCTTCCCCTTTACCTCTGTACAGATAAAACGTTATCAAAATGATTCCAGTCGCATGGATACACAGAAGCGACAAAAAATTCTGTATTACGCAGGCCAAGCGTCGGTGCACAAATATATTCAAATGCGCATACCTACAGACTAAACACGTAATATGCATGTGTTTTCATGGAATTACGTTTTTGAAGTTTACACAGAGACAACGTTTATCAAAAAATTTCAAAACTTACACCTTGGAACCTATTTTTACGTTTGCATTCTTGAGCAACCAAACACTGTTGTTGTGTAAATGGCCGGCCAGAACGCATTTAAAGTTTTCTGTTTTCAGTTAAAATGGTGTAGTGTTAGCGGCCCCTAAGTTAATAACTAATGATCGTTGCAATGGAAGTGAATCAATCAAAACTAACTTTAACTGGACAATAACTTTATTCTAGAGCTGTCATGAAGCCAAAACAATCGGTTACTTTAATTTCCTATTATCACTACTGTAAGGCTGCTTTGAAACAATCTATATTTTTAAAGGGATACTCCACTTTTTTTGGAAATAGGCTCATTTTACAACTCCCCCAGAGTTAAACTGTTGAGTTTTTACCGTTTTTGAATCCATTCAGCCGATCTCCGGTTCTGGCGGTACCACTTTTAGCATAGCTTAGCATACATCATTGGAGTGGACAAGACCATTAGCATTTCTAAAAACAAATGACCAAAGAGTTTCGATATTTTTCCTATTTAAAACTTGACTCTTCTGTAGTTACATCGTGCACTAAGACCGACGGAAAATGTAAAGTTGCGATTTTCTAGGCTGATATGGCTAGGAACTATACTCTCATTCCTGCGTAATAATCAAGAAACTTCACTGCCGTACCATGAGTGCAGCAGGCGTAATGATATGACGCAGCGCCTGAAAATAGTTCCGTTGTGTTGACGGAAGGTGGCCTATTTTCAGGCGCTGCGTCATATCATTACGCCTGCTGCTCTCATGGTACGGCAGTGAAGTTTCTTGATTATTACGCAGGAATGAGAGTATAGTTCCTAGCCATATCAGCCTAGAAAATCGCAACTTTACATTTTCCGTCGGTCTTAGTGCATGATGTAACTACAGAAGAGTCAAGTTTTAAATAGGAAAAATATCAAAACTCTTTGGTCATTTTTTTTTTAGAAATGCTAATGGTCTTGTCCACTTCAATGATGTATGCTAAGCTATGCTAAAAGTGGTACCGCCAGAACCGGAGATCGGCTGAATGGATTCAAAAACGGTAAAACTCAACAGTTTAACTCTGGGGGAGTTGTAAAATGAGCCTATTTTCAAAAAAAGTGGAGTATCCCTTTAAAAGCACTATATAAAGGAAGGGGACTTGACTTGACTCAATCTATGTCTTTGATTTGAACTGTTTGTGTCACTAACAAATATTTCAACTGTTTTAAGACATCTAGGCTATTGTTAGTTTATTATAAAATAACTAGCTGCTATATTTGCTCACCAAAAAACAAATGTAAAAACAGGCTAGTGTTTTTGATACGACTTATTTGCTGGTTGTAAATTAAGCATTTTTTGGCCCTTTGAATTTTAAGAGGATCTGAATATTATTATCTTCCATGTGCACCATCACACAAAAGGCCAAAAAAATAGCATTCATTGCATTTCTTTCTATAACATGTACACAGCTGACTCTCCCATTGCCACCTAAAAATTTCCTATTAAGTGTTTTTATGTTAATGTTAAATATTGATGCATCCAGGTGTTTGCATTCAAACTGCCTGGAAAAAGTGTTTTTATTTTCCAGGACACTAGTTTGATAAAGCGAGCGCTTTTGAGATGAGAAGAAAAAAAAGATTGGCTTACTTATGGTTTGAGTCATCGAATATTTACTACTATTATGTTCAGGTATGTTAAAATATTTATAATGGTATAGTGTAAAACCCTTTGACCCTCTGTATTTTATATACTGTAACATCCATGCTTTGTTAATGTTGCATAATTAAGTAATAGAAACGAATGGTTTTCCTGGTTTCAATTCAGAAGTAGATATTGGGTTTACTCATTCTTCACAAATATCATTCATTTCTGTAGAGCTTAACATTTTAATGAGGATCAAATGACTGAGTTCAGCTTTGAGAATGAAACCAACCTGTTTTTTCCTCAGTTTCTTCTAGTTTCACTCTGAATGTTTCTTCAATCTTCATGTCTTCACTCTCCTCTTTAATAAACGCCATCTTCATATTAGTAAGTCACTATTTACAATAGTGTCTCAGTTTTTTCTGTGTATTTGGACAATAAGATGAGAATAATGATCAGAAATAAAAATAAATCCAAACTAAATCTCTGCGTACAATCAGTTCAGTAGTTCAGTGCACTGGTAAGAGTCAGTCAGAGTTAAAGGACTTAAATGACCAAAAACTTAATAAAAGAACAAACACTATAGGCTACAGACACTTCATATTTAAGCATTTGGGATTTACATGTGGTACTTACTTGTATATACTTTATACAAATTGGTTTGTTTATGTTGTATTCACCCATGTTTATGTTCTCCATGCATCTACACTGTTTTGACCAGCGTGCGGCGATTCGAATCACTGAATCATTTCGCTAATCATTTGATTCGATTGACTCGGGGTTTCAAAAGCTCCATTTCTCCATCACCACCATAGACAGTAAAAGAAATGGACAGAGCGATCTCATTGGAACTCAGTTGAGACAGTTGAAGCCCACTTTTAGCGATTTTTGAGAACTTCCGTTCCTGACGCGCAGACTCAGACCGACTCAAACTAAGCTTGATGACGTGAGCAACCTGTCTGACAGACGTTAATCTTCTAGTAGCTGTGCGTGAAAACTGCCAACGTTAATCTTGCAGAGACGGGGAACTTGAGCAAAGAGTTCTTTGGCGTGAGTGAGCAGGAGTAAGAATTCCGTTGCTTTTATGGACTCATTATCTATGGGCTTCTCCCTTGACGGGACGTCCCCCCGATTGCCTGCAAGCTTCTCCTCCTGTCTGTACGGTAACTTCTGTACAGCGCGACAGAGAGTCGAGTGGTTATGACGCAATCGTTAGCCTATTTTTACTAAATCTGTTTCTACGGGGCCATAGTGTAACATAGAAGGTAATGGAGCCCTTTATACATTGTCGTGTTTCTTTAGAAATAAATAATGGACAAATGGAGTCTTTAAACGCCTCAGATGTAAAGTTATTCGCTGTCAAAGTGACGCAAAAATGAATGGGAGTCAATGGAAATGCTAACGCAAGTGAAGTTCTGCTACAACATGGCGGCACCCGTCCGGGTTCAACTTCCGGTCGATGGATTACCCCCTTGATCACCACTCGCCAGGGACTGAAATCGTTTTTTACAATAAACCGATTGATTGACGATATAGGGGGCGAAATGAGACGCACCTTTTCAGCTACTGATGTGTGGACGAGCATTAATCATTAAAATGTTACTTTCAATAATAATTAATAATTTTTACATCGCTTGCAAAAACGGTTTGTGTTGATTTAAATACTTTAAAACGTTTAAAGATTACAAACCTTTGTTCAGCCCTTTTACTGTGTATGGTTCAGCCGAATCATAACAGAGGCAGGAGCGCAGCGCAGTCTTATGACGTCATATGTGTGTGTGTGTGTGTGTGAGTACATTGTGCACTAAAAATAATATTTATGCTTTTTTATAATGAAAACAAAAAGGGACTCAAGGCATTTCTCTTTCTTGAATTTCTCTCTCTCTTTTCCAACAATGCCAAAGCTCTAAAGTCTGTTAATTGTGCACATAAATGGTGTCTATGTTTTTGTATAATGAAAACAAAGGGGACTCAAAGCATTTCTCTCTCTCTCTTGAATTTATTTTAAATTATATGTTACCTCTGGCTCAAATTTTAATTTAATTTTTACAATTTTTTCTTAATTTTTATTTTTATTTTATTTTTTTGTCTGTTTAATTCACTTGCTTACTATCCTTTTTGCTTACAACTATGTTATTGTTGTTTAATTCTGTTTTGAGATATAACTATGTATTTGCGGTTATGCGTTCAATAAAAAAAAAAGGGGAAAAAAAGTGTGTGAGTTTGATGACTTATATGATGTTGTGTGCACTTCTGTATTTGTCTTTATTGTTGTACAGCTTTGATGTTAATATTTTGTTAAAATTTGTTGCGACCCCAGGAAGAATAGCTGCTGCTTAATGGAGTAGCTAATGGGGATCTAAATAAACAAAAAAATTATAATATCGCCAAACTAAAATAAAAGTCCTGGGGCCCGTTTCAGAAAGGAGGTTAAGTGAAAACTCTGAGTATGTTAACCCTGAAATGAGGGAAACTCTGGGTTTTCCGTTTCAGAATGGGAGGTATGCGTTTCTGAAAGAGAGGTAACTTATACTGTGAACCTAACCTGGTCGGGAGCAGGTTTTCCTAGATAAACCCAGAGTTTTTCTAATGTAGTAAATCCATCTTGATTTAAGAATTTTTAGATATTTTGACTGGAAACAACAAGACAAAAAGGCTAAGCATTTTAGAAAAGCATTTTTTGCAGTGTACATTCATTTATTGAATAGTGATATGTTCACAACCTGATTGGTCGGCTTTTATTACGTATATTTCGTGTCGGAACTTACCAAACATCCAAAACAATGCTGTGTGCTGGGAAAAATGCTCTCGTTTTATGTGCGGTACGACGGTATTTTGACCAGCTGAGAACTCGTGAAGAGCTTATAAAATATGTAAAACAGTGGCAGGAATCCCTCCGTCACAAATATCTGATCTGCTGTGACCTTATCAAAAGATCTGCTGTGAGGAGACGCGGTTCTGATGCCTGTACCGAACTGTGATGAGTAACGATGAAGGGAAAAAAACAAGTGTGCTTGAGCATTCTGTCCTTTTTAGGGTCGCACCTTGTGGCATCATGTCCTGTTTTTGGTTCGTTTACATGTCTTTGATCTGTGTTGCGTTCATATTTCATTCAAACCGCACCAGAGTTTGTTTGGAAAAGGACTGAGACCCATCTTTTCAGCGGTCTCGGTCCGCTTGTTTGGTGGCACCGGGGTTCGGATGGCAGCGTTCACGATTATTCAAATGAACCGCACTAACAGAGCAATCGCACCAGGGTCGTTTTAATTGAACCAAACAAGTGTTAAAAAAAAACAAAAACAAGGGGTTCACAACGAACATTTTAAACAAGTCTCAAAAATCTTTTTTTTTTGTCCTCACTTTAACATCCACCTCATTAATAGTTAAGGAAAACCATCCTTTCCATTTGTCCAAAACTTGTTGTGAAACAAATTTCTTGTGAAGTAATTGTGACATACATAAGTTATACCTATCAAACACACAAAGGAGATCACAGAAGATAAATATGTCCAGTGTTTGAAAAGATATGAAATCTTATCTATCAAACCTTATCTTGCAAAATCGATATTCAAGTACCTAGTACTAGAGTGACATGAAGATGTTCACAGGTGGCCAGTGGATGATGGATTAATGGGACGCAATGTGGCAGATTCTACAGTGAAGCTCTCAGTTGCCGAAGCTGATTTATCGATTTACATTCAACAATACTGGTTGATCAATAAAGCTTTTTGACGGCTGATACAGATACCAATTTCTAAAGAGACTTTATGAAATAATGTATTGACTTTCTATCTGAGTTAGTACTGCAGATAAAGTCTTTATTATTTGATGAGCCATGAAGAAAATGAAAAAGATGCATTGATGTTGGCATTTATAGACATTTTTAACTATTTGGAGTTAAACAACACGTGTCAGAACACACTCATTATGGTAATCATACTTTAGATTTAATGTGGACACATGGAAAATATATAACAAAATTATGTAATGCTTTGCATAATAATAAAAAGTATATTAGTAGTACATTTTTCTCCAAAAATGATTCTCAGATAATGGATAAGAGGTTTGTGGCATTACATCACCACCTAGTGTACAACACACAGTAGCAACCAGGCTCATTACAATTATTTAACAAGTACAAACATTAAAATTATTACAAATTTTGATTAATTCAATAACAAAATATTTGACTATTTCAATAATATTTTTGTTGTTGCACTGTGAATATCTCTTACAATGTATAACCATCATAAAAAATGTTTTTGGTAAAGTGTTAACATAAAACATAAATGAGAGGGACAGAGATCTACTATTTAAAAATACAGATTGTGTTATTTTGAAACCTAAATAAAACATTCCACACGCGTCCACAAGATCAGTGATACAGCATTTCATACTTCTTTTGATTAGTTACTTTGGAACTTAAAACCTGCCTTGTCTTGTTAACCTATGCTTTATTTTTAGCCTGACACTAATTTGTGAGAACTAGCAAAGGTTTTAAATCACACATCTTGATGTTAGTCGATTACCTTGCCTTGGTCTGTATACAAGATTAAAGAATGAGGACAATGGCTACATTAGAATTTCATGCTAAGAGATTCACTTAAGCAAGATTCAAGATTCACACATATGCATGAAGTTGCTGGGAATCTGTAGGTCACTATGAAATATTTTTAATTTTTCTGTATTCCTTTTTTGAGTTGTTGTTTTTTCTGCTTTCCAGCTTAATGTTTAGATGAAATGCCAGTAATCAAAAAGCATGTGTAATATTCAGAACTATATTATTCACTGTGTTGTGTGTTTTAAGTACAATATTGAACATACTACTATAAACATCATATATAAATATGTACAGTTTAAGTTAAGTTGGTTATCAAAAATATAAGGCAATGATTAATAGAGAAATCATTTTGAGATAGCCTAGGTGTTTTCAAGCTGCATACATTCATAACGTGCAAATTGATAGTACATATCTGAAAAATAATGCACGTGGCGGTAATTAAAATTGTATCAACTTTTTTTTCCAAACATGAACACAATTAAACAGTATCTAACTTTTAAGTGAAAGTTCAGCAAATTAGCATTGCATAAGTGCGTCATTGATTTTATGGATCACTTATCATTTATTTATTACAGGTCATTTACATGTTAAGGTTTCCTTAATAAAGTCTCCAGTTACTGACATAACCTCGGCTCCCTAAAATGAGGGAACAAGATGTTGTGTTAGCGATGATGCTATTCTCCTAGAATAGTAAAGCCTTATCGTTTTTTTAACTTTAAAAGTTAACAACAATACTGAAATTAACACTGATACCTGCTTACCTTTTGTTTTTGACTTGGGTAAATATTCACATTCTTCATGGTATCGTTTGCAGGGAAAATAAGCTTTTATCCCATTGCATGATCATTTGATGTTTTCACTGAAGTTCTGTTCACAATGTTGATCTGGTTGCCGTAAATAGTGTCACGCGCTGCTGCTTCAGCCATCATATGGTAGAAATTGTCCAAATAAAAATGTTCAACAAGCTGACAGAAGTTGTGGAGAGCTCTTACACTACTTAGACATCTTCATCCTATGACTTAATATTTATAAACATTTCTATGACAAACCTATCACAACATCTAAAAAGACTGTAATTTAAATGTAAATTTACATAAACATCCAGTAAAAGTAATAGACTTATGAAGTTAAATAATCCAGGCAGGGCCTCCATCAAGGCCACATTGTTACCTTCACACTCACAATCACAACTCATTTACAATTCATTGCGGCTGATTAAAAAACAAGTTTTCATAATTTAATAATAAAAGACTGTATCCAGTGATAACGAAGTGCAATTTGTAATAAAAGCAGATCGTAGCAAGACAAGAGTTTCTGTACAGGGAGCAAAGCTGCATGAAACCACTTTACACACGCAACCCAGGTGGAAAAAAACAACTTTCACATTAAAAATCGGTTATGAAGGGTGTGAATTGCTGCTTCAATGTATACGTAATGAATGAGTAATTATAATCAAGGTATTAATCAATATTTTTCCTTCTAAATATCAAATGAGTTGAATGACTTCTTTATGCTTGTGAGAATTTACTTTGTTAAAGAAGTTACCAGTGCGATTACTGAAATATTCTTTTCATGTATTCTCTAATGTCTGTATTTGATATCTGAATGCAGTAACAGTGCTTGCTCACTTCCAGAAATGAAATAGGGACTTGTTTTGTGTTTGAGAAAGGTCTTCAACGTCTTAAAACATATAGTGGTCATTGAAGCCAATAGTTTAAGGCACCATTTCTTTGTTAAAGCCTTACTTTCCAGTTAGACTAAAGTGTAGCTCTCCTAGAGAGAAAGAATGTACTATCTTGATGTTTTGAGAAAACTCTTCTGTTTATAGTTAGAGCCTGGCCAAATCCAACCCTGGAAAAGCTGTGTGTCGGGGTGTGTGTTAGTCTTTTTGGTTACAGGTTAAGGAACCACTGGCATAATCGGAGATTGACTGAGTAGTTGCATGGAGGTAGTAACCAGAGGCATGGAGGTACTAGTAACACATGAAGAGCAAGGTAAAGATCCCAGCAGTCTGTGTTGAACTGAAAATAATCAGAAATATCTAATATACGGAGATACTTACTTTTACTTACTACAGAACCCTTGAAATTTCAGCAGAAAAAAACTCTGTTAGACATTACCAGGGCCGACACATGGCATAGGAGACATAGGCGGATGCCTAGTGCGCAAAGTGACAGTGGGCGCCGCACTGTAAATCAACATGTATAAAGTGCTATTAGTCAATTAATGGGGAGATAATCGATAATCGAATCGAAATCTAATCGGACTGGAAAAACGAATTGTTAGATTAATCGATGCATTGAAAAAATAATCGCTAGATTAATCGTTTAAGAAATAAGCGTTTATCCCAGCCCTAGTAGTGATGTTGGCTGGGTGCTGGTAGGTGGAGGAGTAGTGATGTTGGCTGGGTGCTGGTAGGTGGAGGAGTAGTGAGGTTGGTTGGGTGCTGGTAGGTGGAGGATTAGTGATGTTGGCTGGGTGCTGGTAGGTGGAGGAGTAGTGAGGTTGGTTGGGTGCTGGTAGGTGGAGGATTAGTGATGTTGGTTGGGTGCTGGTAGGTGGAGGAGTAGTGATGGTGGCTGGATGCTGGTAGGTGGAGGATTAGTGATGTTGGCTGGGTGCTGGTAGGTGGAGGATTAGTGATGTTGGCTGGATGCTGGTAGGTGGAGGAGTACTGATGGTGGCTGGGTGCTGGTAGGTGGAGGAGTAGTGATGGTGGCTGGATGCTGGTAGGTGGAGGATTAGTGATGTTGGCTGGGTGCTGGTAGGTGGAGGAGTACTGATGGTGGCTGGGTGCTGGTAGGTGGAGGAGTAGTGATCTTGGTTGGGTGCTGGTAGGTGGAGGAGTAGTGATGTTGGCTGGGTGCTGGTAGGTGGAGGAGTAGTGATCTTGGCTGGGTGCTGGTAGGTGGATGAGTAGTGATGTTGGCTGGGTGCTGGTAGGTGGAGGAGTAGTGATCTTGGCTGGGTGCTGGTCGATGGAGGAGTAGTGATGGTGGCTGGGTGCTGGTAGGTGGAGGAGTACTGATGTTGGCTGGGTGCTGGTAGGTGGAGGAGTAGTGATGTTGGCTGGGTGCTGGTAGGTGGAGGAGTAGTGATGGTGGCTGGGTGCTGGTAGGTGGAGGAGTACTGATGTTGGCTGGGTGCTGGTAGGTGGAGGAGTAGTGATGTTGGCTGGGTGCTGGTAGGTGGATGAGTAGTGATGGTGCCTGGGTGCTGGTAGGTGGATGAGTAGTGATCTTGGCTGGGTGCTGGTAGGTGGATGAGTAGTGATGTTGGCTGGGTGCTGGTAGGTGGAGGAGTAGTGATGTTGGCTGGGTGCTGGTAGGTGGAGGAGTAGTGATCTTGGTTGGGTGCTGGTAGGTGGAGGAGTAGTGATGTTGGCTGGGTGCTGGTAGGTGGAGGAGTAGTGATGTTGGCTGGGTGCTGGTAGGTGGAGGAGTAGTGATGTTGGCTGGGTGCTGGTAGGTGGAGGAGTAGTGATGGTGGCTGGGTGCTGGTAGGTGGAGGAGTACTGATGTTGGCTGGGTGCTGGTAGGTGAAGGAGTAGTGATGTTGGCTGGGTGCTGGTAGGTGGATGAGTAGTGATCTTGGCTGGGTGCTAGAGCACTTATCGGAGAAATGGTTAGACTGAGTGTTTCCATGGCAACAACCAGTGTGTTCGATAGCACCTTTGGAGCGGTTTGCTGGTTGTTGGATGTTGAAGCTTGGCTGCTGTTGGTCATTTTCCTCTTATTAGATTGGCTCTTGCTTCCAAGATGTCTAAGTGTTGTTTTTTCTGTCATTTCGTATTTTTTTCGCCTCAACCTCAGCCTAATAAAAACTTTGGAGATTTTTTTCTTGTACTCCAAAGCATGATGCAAGCCTGCTGGAGAGTGACTGAGCTTCTTTCCTCAAGACATCCACTGCGTTGGGAAACTCCATGAGGGAGGAACCAGTGTTGGTCCTAAATAGTTTCTCAATTTGTTGAGTTAAGTCATAGGCTTCTTGGGAGGGACAACAAAGAGCACCTGCCTTGAACTCTTTTAAGTTTACTAAGATGCTGTTATCTCCAGCAGGATTGTCATCAGTGTGTTGTGTTGCTGTTTGCATTTTCCACAGATGCTGGCAAATCTGATTATTTTGTGGACAATGTAGCCTGCAAGATGGAAGAGAATACATTTCTCAGTTTTTGTGAGGTCAGGTGCTGTTCTGTTCTCCACCACCAGCTGTTCCACTCTGACTGATGGAGCGATACTTTATTCCACTGTGTCTAGGAAGTCTGCTAAAAAGCTACTGTGGTCTTCCTGGTAGCTCCCAGATCTGATGGAGGGGAGGAACTGCCCTACAGATATAATTCTCAGTCCATGATGGAATTCCACTGGAGGTGGTATGGGATTTTCAGACCTCACACGGCTAAATGTATTTTCAAGGCAGTCTTGTGTGAACCTTGAAGTTAACACAAACCTGTGCCCTCGTGTCAGAATCTCCTCCTGTATGGCCAACATTTATATTCTTGCCATTATCACCCCTTTTGAACAGGCTTCCAAACTCCCTTATGACCAATCTTTATCCCATGGAACAGATGGATGATATCCTGTAGGAAGATGATGGCCTTTTCATACTCCTCCATCTTGACCCTGCTCAGGGCTGTAATTGGATGGCGAGATGACATAAGATCAAACCAATGATTAACTTGCTCCAGAAACCATGCTGTAGTCAGGTAGGAGAGAGGGCGGTTTTCTTGCTGCACCATATATTTCAGCCCAACACTTGTTGCCTTACTAAATACATTAAGAGCAGACCAACCTTCATTTTTTCAAAGTGGCTTGGCCCGATGGCTGCAGCTGACAGATGGGGAGCTAGTATTTTTAATGCCATCCCTTCTTTAAGACCTGTCCACAGACAAGGGCACTTTTTAGATTTTTTACCAGATGTAGGACATCAGGCATGACATACAGTTTAAACTGTCTGGTCCTGTTGGATGTGGCACAGATGTTTTGGTGTTGTCGACCCCAAAGGATTTCCACATGGCCTGGTTAGGGCTACCCATATCAGTAGTGACATCAAGCACATGTAGCCCTATGGATGCTGCCCTCTGTATTATTTCGATAATCATTGACCTGTAATCTGCTCCATTGTACAATTGCCACTGTAATGATAAGCCACTACTTTCCACCGAGTTGTGTTTCCAGCCAACATAAACACACAAGCATGTGTTGCTACTCCTGTGTGACCTGGCAAAGTGACATCACCATACTGTGATCATGTGCAGATCCACACTTGGAGTGATTGCCATTTCATCCAAGGACAGCACACACACTCCCTTTCAAGGTCTGCCAATCCATCTACCGTATTTTCCGCACTATAAGGCACACCGGATTGTAAGGCGCACCTTCAATAAATGACCTATTTTAGAACATTTTTCATATATAGGGCGCACCGGATTATAAGGCGCATAAGATACTGCAGTCAAACGTTTGACTGGGTTTGCGTTATGCATCCACTAGATGTGCTAAAGGGAATGTCAACAAAAAAGTCTGATAAAGTCAAACTTTATTAAGCTTTCTGACAACTCCGTTCACTCCCATGGTAACGTTGTTCAAACGTTAAAGGAAAACTCCGGTCAATTTTAACATTGAGCTCATATTTTGTAAATCTGGAGTGCTGTCAGTACAGATAACAACGACAAAAACCGGTGTTGCCTTCACCGTGTTACCCTCTTTTTAAAATGTACACCCTGTTAGAAAATTTGTTTTTATGCCCTGTTGACTTAAACGGGACAAGTTTTAAACCTGCTTTTAGCCTCTTAACAACCTTAATGTGTCATTACAAGTGCACAGCCATGTGAGTGAACACGGTGAATCTGACTGCAGTAAATGTGAAAGATATGAATAAAAATGATGTTTATTCAGCCAGCTCACATACCCGTATTTGTATTTGGTTCAGTCCTGTTTCTATTTTCCCGCTCCTCGTTACTGTTTAGTTAATTCACCTGTTTACCTGTCATTATCAGTTCATTTGCCCCAGCTGTGCCTTGTTTCCTCATTCTGTTCTATATGTATTTAAACCCTGTGTTCTCCCTCACTCCTGGTCGGTTATCGTTTATGTTAGGTGTGTTTGTATCCTCTGCCTGTACCTGTTTGTTGTTTTATTAAAGGGGGGGTGAAACACTCTGTTTCACTCAATCTCATGTTAATCTTGAGTACCTATAGAGTAGTATTGCATCCTTCATATCTCCAAAAAGTCTTTAGTTTTATTATATTTATAAAAGAAAGATAGGCTGTACCGAGTCTTTCCGGAAAAACCCGAGCCGGTGGAGGCGTGCCGTGTGGGCGGAGCTAAATAATCACGACACGAGCGCGCGAAGCTTTTGCGTTGAGAGCGTCTGGAAGCTGTGAGTGACATCCGAAAATAAACCATGGCTAACAATCAGATAGTAATCCCATGCAGAACAAGGATCTAAACAATACTAAGGGCTCGTTCATACAGAACGCGTTTTTGTGAAATGGGTGAAAACCATAAGGTCTCGAGCGTTTTTTTAAAAAATAGAAATGATTTGAACTTGAGCGCAGTGTTTTTAGAACACCATGTCATGCGCGAGTTTTATAACATTTGTGTGTTGTAAACAGACAGACTCGTGGTTTATGAGGACATGATTTATTTTTACAATAAACAAACTGACACCTACAGTGGCCAGCTAAACAAATGTATTTAAACACACACACACACACACACACCATACATCGCATGCTCCATAGATATACATTAACTGTATGTGATCATGTTGTTTACTTGCTGTGCTTACACGCCGATAGTTAACAACTCAGACATTTGAAGCAGTTTTACTCACCGCCTGCGGTTCCAACGCACGACCGTGAACCTTTATCGTTGGGACTGCTCCATCTTTAAGTATTAGGCGATCTGCAAATCCGGCGTTGAACTGGGCCTTGTTTATAAAACTATTACCTCGAAATAAAGGGAACAAACAAAAACACTTGCACAACTCCGTTGCTGCTCTGGAAAAACAAAATCCATCCACAGGTCCCTTAACGCTGGGTTCTTTGGAAATTTGTGCAGTGTTGTCTTGCCCTGGCAACCAAAAACACACTTTTTTGGTGCCATTTTTTTAATTGCAGCGCAGCCGACCGAACCCAGCGCTCTGATGGGCATAGGCGTACTCTCGCACGCACTAGGCTACAGATGCGCGCGCGCCCTTCCGGGAGAAGTGCCCTTAAGACCCGTATAAGGAAATTCCGGCCACTCTGACGTCACACACGCCCGTATTCGAAAAAAACTTTCCGAAACTTGTGACAACCCGGAAGGAGTATTTTTGGAACAGAATTACTCCATCAAACTTACAACTTCATTTTTGAAACTTTGTCCATGTTTAGCATGGGAATCCAACTCTTTAACAGTGTAAAAAACTCACTATGCATGAAACAGCATTTCACCCCCCCTTTAAGTAAAGTATATTGTTTTTGGAAATCCTGATCTCCTCTTCTTCTCCTGCATACACCAACTGTAACATACAGACAGATGCTTAAGTTATTTTAAACTTGAATATAGGATATATTGTGTATATGAATAAGTATTGTAAGAATTATCTATTAAATATATAATACTTATAAAACATAAAATAATTATATTACTATATATAATCGTTAGACTTGTAAACATTAAATATAATTTCACTTAATTCAATTTTACATTCACTTAACATCACGCTGCTGCTTATAGTTCATTGGCCCATTGTGCAGTGCGAGCCGACAACCACCTGTCTCTGCACTATCTGAAAGTCATAAAGTCATAAATATGACATTAGTCACCACGAGATTAGTGAAAACAAAAAAGGCAACACCAACCCGCCTTTATCCAAGTTAACTTTAGCCTAAAATAAGTTAACAAGGCAAATAACAGTAATCGAACACTAATCCTCAGGTGACAGGTGTTCAGATATATGTCTGTCTGAAACAACACTCTAAAAGATTGGAAAGAGTTTGAATGACACATGCTGAATATGGGAAAAGATTGATGAGAATTTACTGCATTAAAGTTGGCATGAAACGAAAGTTTCTAAAGTATTATCGTCCCTATTGTGATGTATATTCGAGTAAAATGGCTTCTGGAACAAGAAATAAAATGTAGGATGGTTTTCTGTAAGCATTATTCTTTTCTGTTTGAGCACAAATGATAGAGTAGCCGATTTTAAGTTGTTTCCACTGTTAGTAAAATCCAAGTGTTCGCGCCTGCGCCTCCGTGCCATGCAGTGCGAGCTCCACACTCCCACACACACCTGGATATGCGTCAATCGTGTGTTTATTTGTGATAATCTTAGCCCTGTATTATTAATGTCTAACCTGTATTATCACTGGCATTTCACGAATTGCTTAATAATGATACTTATTTGCGTTTATAACTATAAAAGAGTTCACTGGACACAGTAATATGTTAATCATAAAATAATTTATGAATGTTTTATTCTGTGTGTGTTATATTTCTTTTTTTATAGGCCTATGTGAAGTCTTGTTTTGCTTATTCGATTATACTGAGGTTTCTAATCCCCAAAAAATGGACTTCAAAGATACAAGTAGCCTAAATGTCGTTTTTTGAGGAAATTCAAGAAACTAGCAATTTTAAAAAGTTAAGTTTAAACATAATGAAATGCATCCCGCATAAACAGGTGGTCTGGTTGGCACAGACTGGGGGAGAGGCCACAAATCAGTGAGTAAAGTTTACAAACCCGTGGGAACGGATTGCAAAAGCGTGGGCACGGTTTATTAATTTGTGGGTACAGATTGCAAAA